AACACATAGACGAGTTACTGAGTCTTAACCAGGGGAGGAGCGGAGGGTGAGGGGGAACTCACAGATAAAACAAACATGAAAAACACACACATGAAACACACAGATGAAACACACGCACAAATAAAACACACATGAAAAACACGCACAGATGAAACACACACACACACACAGATAAAACACACACACACACACAGACACAGACAAAACGCAGAGCTCCTCAACGTGTATGAGAAGCACGTGAGGACAAAAGATTTTACTTCACTTAATTAATTTTTTTTTGCCTGAGCTAAAATTTGGATTATGTAGAGATTAATTAATTAACTTTATTTCACCTGATGATTAAACACTTTAATGCTAGAAGTTATTGAATGAATACATCAAACTTACATATGTTTGTGTGTATGAGTGAATGCAAGTATGTATGGTTATAGGTGGATACAAATGTGTGTGTATGTCTGTAGAGAAGAGAGAAGAGAGAGAGAGAGGACGGGGGTAGGCAGGACATGCTATCAACATCCTTTCGCAATAATCGTATATACTTCCTAAACTTTCCACCCAACTACCTTCCTTCCTTCTCTCCCTCCTCCTTCTCCCTCCTCCTTCTCTCCCTCCCTCCTCCCTCACTCCTTCCTTCCTCCCTCCCCCCCACCTCCTCCCACTCCGATAACATAAGTTTGAATAAAGGGTTCAGCATTAATTCCTCCTCGTCAAAACTCATAATAAGAGTGGGGAAATATTGACCAGAAGTTTAAATAATGGTTAAGGTGAAGCGCTTCATCCATGGGGCCCCGGGGGTTAGTTGGTGTCAAAAGGCACAGTCTCCCCTCAGAAAGAAAATATTATGAGATATGAAATAAGAAAATGGGATGTGTGTGTGTTTTAGTAGTAGTTACCTGTGAAGATGTTAGTGAAGGAATGACGTGGTTATTATTATAATTATTATTATTATTATTATTATTATTATTATTATTATTATTATTATTATTATTATTATTATTATCATTATTATTATTATTATTATTATCACCACCACCACCCTCACCATCACCACCACCACCACCCTCCCACCACCACTACCACCACCATCACCACCACCACCACCACCACCTTCACCACCACCACCACCACCACCTTCACCACCACCACCACCCACCACCACCCCTCACCACCTTCACCACCACCCTCACCACCACCACCACCACCACCCCTCACCACCACCCTCCCACCACCACCACCACCCTCACCACCACCTTCACCACCACCCTCCACCCACCACCACCACCACCACCACCCTCACCACCACCCACCACCACCCTCACCACCACCACCACTCACCACCCTCCACCACCACCACCACCCTCACCACCACCACCACCCTCACCACCACCACCACCACCATCACCACCACCCTCACCACCACCACCACCCTCACCACCACCACCCTCCACCACCACCACCACCCTCCACCACCACCACCACCACTCTCCACCACCACCCGCCCTCCCACCACCCTCCACCCCACCACCACCCCCTCACCACCACCACCCCACCCTCACCACCACCACCCACCACCCCTCACCACCACCACCCTCACCACCACCACCACCACCCTCACCACCACCACCACCACCCCTCACCACCACCACCACCACCCCTCCCCACCACCACCACCACCACCCCTCACCACCCCCACCACCACCCTCCCCAACCACCACCACCACCACCACCACCACCACCCTCACCACCACCACCACCCCTCACCCACCACCACCACCACCCTCCCCACCACCACCACCACCCTCACCACCACCCTCACCCACCCTCACCATCACCACCACCACCAACCCTCACCACCACCACCACCCCTCCACCCACCACCCTCACCCACCACCACCACCACCCTCACCACCACCACCACCACCCTCACCACCACCACCACCCTCACCACCACCACCACCACCCCCACCACCACCACCCTCCCCACCACCACCCTCACCACCACCACCACCACCACCACCACCCACCCCTCACCCACCCCTCACCACCACCATCACCACCACCACCACCACCTTCACCACCACCCTCCCCACCACCACCACACCACCTCACCTCCTCCCACCATCCTCCACGGCGTCAAAACAAGTAACACCCTTAATAATATAGTGTCAGGCCTGCAACATTACACCTTATGGTCAACACAAACACCCTAATTTGGCAGTTCGGACGTCGCCTTGGTATGATAACGTTAAAAAAGAGAGAGAGAGAGAGAGAGAGAGAGAGTTGACCATCTGGACTACTAGAGACTCTCAGGTGACAAATGGTCGTAACCAACATAGCTTGACTAATGCAATACAACCAGTGAAGCTCGGCTCTTAATACATATATACAGTTCACGCTGTGCCTGTCTGTCTGTCTGTCTGTCGTGTGTGTGTGTGTGTGTGTGTGTACATATACCCACACATGTATACACACACGCAGGCCAACTTTGCGCTCCCTTCATATTATCACCATCTCCGTGCTACCTCTCTCTCTCTCCTTCACTACAATGTATTTCATCGTCTTAATGTTATTGTTATCACCTGTTTTTCCTTAGTCCCCTTTGTTGCTCTTCCTCATGTTAATTACCTTCCTTTGCCATCTTTTACCTGTGCTATTATCATTTCTCTCTTTCTCCTTTTATCTGTTCTCTTTCTCTCCCTCTATAATTTCTCTCTTCCTTCCCTTTTATCAATGTATTATTATTATCCTCTTTATTCCCATTTTCATTTCACGTTGTTACTCCTCTTTTCTTCCTTCTGTAATTCTTAGTCTTTTATTGCTCTTCTCTGTTATTACGCCTCTTCCTGTCTTTATTGCCTCCCTGTTTTATTATCGCGGCTTTTAATTTCCTGGGTTTTTATTGGCTGTTGGGGTAATTGTTTCCATTATTCTCTGTTCTCTGTTTTATTGTGTTTTTCCTGCGTATTTCTCTTTGCTGTTGTTGTTGTTTTAGTGTTATTATTACTGTTGTTATTTTCTCACTTATTCTCAAAGGGGTAAATCACCGTCCTCAAAGAATTAAATCATCGTCCAGAAGTGCTTGAGGAACATCCGAGATTGATATCGTCCCTCAAAACAAGTATCCGACACCAGTATCGTCCCTCAAAACAAGCATCCGACACCCGTATCGTCCCTCAAAACAAGCATCCGACACCCGTATCGTCCCTCAAAACAAGTATCCGACACCCGTATCGTCCCTCAAAACATGTATCCGACAACCCGTATCGTCCCTCAAAACAAGCATCCGACACCCGTATCGTCCCTCAAAACAAGCATCCGACACCCGTATCGTCCCTCAAAACAAGTATCCGACACCCGTATCGTCATTAAAAACCACCTTACCTATACTTCGCCAAGAGATACTGGGTGCCTCTCAAGAATCATCCGAGACTGATATCGTCACTCGAATCATCCGAGACTGATATCGCCACTAGAATCATCCGAGACTGATATCGTCACTAGAATCATCCGAGACTGATATCGTCACTAGAATCATCCAAGACTGATACCGCCACTAGAATCATCCGAGACTGATATCGTCACTAGAATCATCCGAGACTGATATCGTCACTAGAATCATCCGAGACTGATACCGCCACTAGAATCATCCGAGAGTGATATCGCCACTAAAACAAGCATCGTACCTAGACTTTAAGCAAGAGGATACAGGGCGCCTTGGAGAGCAAACGTCCGAGACTGGTATCGTCTTTTACGAGCCATAAACACGCAACCCTTGTTCCCGTCCAGGCGATAAGCGAGGCCCTAATGGAGATAAACCAGGGTTTTATTTCACCTTTCCTGGGGTTTAATGTGTGTATCTCATGAACACGTGTTACCTGTGTTGGATGTGAGGTGTTTTTAAAGACACTCTGCATGTTCAAGTGCTCGGTGTAAAGTGGGTTTTTTTAAAGGCGACCCATGATGATTTTGTGTTTTGTTGTGTTTACGGGTGTTTTAAGGTGATCGTTTTATGCTTTATGCGTGTTTTAAAGTCGTCGTTTGTGTTTTATGGGTGTTTGAAAGTGGTATTAATGTTTTTTTTGTATATAGGTGTTTTAAGTGGTCATTTGAGTGTTTATGGGTGTTTTAAGTGCTCCTTTGTGTGTTTATGGGTGTTTTAAGTGGTCATTTGTGTGATTATTTAAGTGGTCGTTTATGTTATGGGTGTTTTAAGTGTTCGTTTGTGTTTATGGGTGTTTTAAGTGGTCGTTTATGTGTTTATGGATGTTTTCAGTAGCCTTTAGGTTTTTGTGCTATGGATGTTTTAAGTGGTCATTTGTGTGTTTACGGGTGTTTTAAATTGGTCATTTGTGTGCTTATGGGTGTTTTAAAGTAGTATATAGGGTTTTTTTTGTTAATGTGTTAATGAATTTTTTCTGTTTAAGTGGGCCTGATGTTTAAGTAGTTATGATGTTTAAGTGGGCGTGATGTTTAAGTGGTCGTGATGTTTAAGTGATCGTGATGCTTAAGTGGTCGTGATGTTTAAGTGGTCGTGATGTTTAAGTGGTCGTGATGTTTAAGTGGTCGTGATGTTTAAGTGGTCGTAATGTTTTGTGGTCGTGATATTTAAGTGATCGTAATGTTTAAGTGGTCGTAATGTTTAAGTGGTCGTAATATATAAGTGGTCGTAATGTTTAAGTGGTCGTAATGTTTAAGTGGTCGTAATGTTTAAGTGGTCGTAATGTTTAAGTGGTCGTAATGTTTAAGTTACTTGTATATTATTTGTAAATCAAGAGACCCATTCCCCAATTATGTAACTGTATATTTTCACCCTTCCGGCGCCATGCTCTTTCAATAAACCGTTAATTATTATTATTATTATTAGACCATCACGGCACAACATAACCCACCTCATACTTGGCCTCATCACGGCACAACATGACCCACCTCATACTTGGCCTCATCACGGCACAACATGACCCACCTCATACTTGGCCTCATCACGGCACAACATGACCCACCTCATACTTGGCCTCATCACAAGCACAGCAGTCGTAGATGACCTCTGGCTGCATATCATCACTCTCCTGGACCTCCTCACAGAGTTCCTTCGTCAGCTCTCCGTCATCCATGTACCAGACGTCTCTGTTCTCCACCACCGTCGCCCTGCCGAGTGGGAGAAGAATGGGAATGAGTAGGAGTGACTGGGAATTGGTGGGAGTCAGAAGAAGTGAGGGTGAAAGAAGGTAAGACATGGTGGGGGGGGTGGAAAGTGAGGGGTGAGTGGGGAGTGGGTGCGGGTGTGTTGGGGTGGGTGGATGTAGTGTGAGTATAGTAAGTAGTGAGTGAGTGTGAGAGGGGTTGAGTGGGAGTGAATGAGAGTAAACATACACAAAGGGAAAATTTCCATTTCTAATAAGGGTTATCTCTCTCTCTCTCTCTCTCTCTCTCTCTCTCTCTCTCTCTCTCTCTCTCTCTAATAACAACATAGAGATATACATAGAAAAAAACGAGAGAGAGAGTCCTGAACTCTCTCAAATTGGTGTACCAAACACAATTTGGTAGTCTGCTCTTCTATTGGCCCGCGAAAAACCCGTGTGTGTGTGTGTGTGTGTGTGTGTGTAAGAGAAGGAGAGAGGTTTATTTTTTGCCGTATAAGATATATACTCTCTCTCTCTCTCTCTCAAACAATAGACGAGGGTGACAACATCTTCAAGTCCTTCAAAACATCAACAGGTAACTTAATTATTATACACATTAATTTATATATACGTACAGAACATATATATATACCTTTGTAAACCTCTTTATATAGCTGGGGTTAAAACCTACTATATAAACCAATTTAAAATTTGTGGGTTGTGCGTGTCCAGCTCAATGAATGTCTTTCTTGACTGGTTGACTGAGATTTGTGAGTGACTGTTTGACTGTTACGTTGGTGAGAATGTTTTTGTTTTTTCCACTTGCGTTAGCTCTTCTTGCGTTGCTTGCTGTATGGCTATTGTTATTATTATTATTACTGTTGTTGTTGTTGTTTGTGTTTTGTTGTTGTTTTGTTGTTATTGTTTTTGTTTTGTTATTGTGTTTTGTTTTGTTGATGTTTTTTTTGCTTTTTGTTTTGTTGTGTTGTTTTTGTTGTTTTTGTTTTGTTGTTGTTTTGTTGTTGTTTTGGTGTTGTTGTTGTTGTTTGTTGTTGTTTTGCTGTTGTTGTTGTTGTTGTTGTTGTTGCCTCTCCCATCCCTTTCACCTTCCACACACCTCCTCTCACTTTCTCCAAGTTTCCTCTCTCCTCCTACTCAGCCCTCTCAACTCCTCCACTTCCCTCTCATCTCCCTCACCTTCCTCTCACCCCTCTCTCACTTTGATCCAGGCCAGTGAATAGAGTACAGCAAGGTGTGTACATTTCAAATATAGAACGCTAGTGTACGAGAGAGGAGTTTCTTGTAGTCTGTGGTAACATGGAAGAAGATTTTGGAGTTTAAGAGAAAATAAAATAAATAAACTCTGACTTTTTTTTTTACTTGATCAATGAAGGAATAAACAACAGAGAAAGACAAACAGCCACAAACACCAACAGACACCAACAACTTTTGGTTTAAGGTTAAGGTTCACCTCTTAATGATAATCTCCCTTTTCTCTTATTCTCCCTTATTCTCACCTTTTCTTTCCTCCCTGTCTTTCCCCTGTCTCTTTCTCTACCTTCCAGTCAAAAAAAATCCCTCCTTCCTTCACTCTCCCTTCCTCTCTCTCATTTTTCTCTACCTTATAGTTCAAAAATACCTCTCTCTCTCTCTCTCTCTCTCTCTCTCTCTCTTCATTGCTTCCCAGTTCAGTTTAAAAAATATCCCCCTCCTTCACTCTCCCTTCCTCTCTCTCTTTTTTTGTCTCTCTTTTTCTTATTCCCTTCCCTTATCACCCTTTCCCCATACCCTTTCCTTTCTTCTCCTTCCTTCCCTCTCCTCCACACACCTCTCCCACAAGATCCTGGCTGGAATATGTTTAGACTTTGTTTGTCTTTTGGTCATGTTGGGGTAGACAGACAGACAGACAGACAGACAGACAGACAGACAGACAGGCAGACAGACAGATAGCAGAAACAGACAGACAGACAGATAGCAGAGACAGACAGCAGACAGAGAGAGACAGACAGACAGGGACAGACAGATAGACAGACAAAGCAGACAGAGACAGACAGATACAGAGAGACAAAGACAGTAAGATAGCACAGAGAGAGACGGATAACTAGACAGAAGGACACTGTAGATAGATAGCACAGACAGAAAGACAGAAATTAGAAAGTTAGAATGACAGATCGACAAACAGATGGACAGTAGAGAGAGAAATGTTGTTGTTTTTGTTTTTTGTTGTGTTTCGTTGTTGTTCTTGTTGTTATTATTGCTGTTATTATTGCTGTTATTATTGTTGTTATTATTGTTGTTACTGTTCCTGTGTTTGTTGTTTCTGCTTTTGTTCTTGTTGTTATTGCTACTGTTGTTTTATATAATTCAATTTACGCATTACTTTACTCACAAACAAATATTAGTGAAAATGCGCGAAATATAATCCAAGCAGTGCGGTACGACAACGTTTCCGCGGCCGTCATCTGCCACCTAACCTCTCCATCATGAGGCGCAAGATAGAGCTTCCCCACACGCTTCCTACATCACATGATTGGATAAATGTTGGTTTACTCACTTGCTTGTTCTTCCATTTCAACCTCTTTCGCCTACCCACCACCCCCACTACGACCATCACTACCACCACTACCACCACTTAAGCAGAGTGCATTCTTACGTCTGGCAGCGCGACGCCAATGTTTTTATTTTCTCAGCAAAGTTTACAGTTAGTGTTTCTTTTTACATACGTTTTCTTCCTCTTACGAGTTGCCAAACAGTGAACAGGAGATCGTAAATGGTTGTAAATTTAGCAAAAACAAATGGAAAAGAAATTATGTCAGTGTAAATGCCAAGAGCCGCGAAATGAAACGCAGAATAAGCGGAAGACAGAAAGAATAAATAATGGAAGAGAGAAAATTGAAAAACTTGAGGACTTCCAGGAATATAAAGTTTTCGTTCGGAGTTAGAGCAAGTTATTGTTTTACTTTGATCTCTCCATGGTTTATTGCATTAACCCCCTGGGCACGATGATTTAACCCCTGAGTGCGATGACTTAACCCCTATTATTATTAGTATTATAATTATAATTATTATTGTTGTTATTATCGTTGTTGTTGTTGTTGTATTTGTTGTTGTTGTTGCTGCTGTCTGGTATCTCCATTGCAAAATAACGCGCGAAATATAATCCAAGCAGTGCGGTACGACAACGTTTCCGCGGCCGTCATCTGCCACCTAACCTCTCCATCATGAGGCGCAAGATAGAGCTTCCCCACACGCTTCCTACATCACATGATTGGATAAATGTTGGTTTACTCCCTTGTTTGTTCTTCCATTTCAACCTCCTTCGCCTCCCCACCGCCCCCACTACGACCATCACTACCACCACTACCACCACTTAAGCAGAGTGCATTCTTACGTCTGGCAGCGCGACGCCAATGTTTTTATTTTCCCAGCAAAGTTTACAGTTAGTGTTTTTTTTCTATTTTCTTCCTCGTGTCTTGCCAAACAGTGAATGGAAGATCTTAAATAACGGAAAATTTAACGAGAGAAAGTGGGAAAGAAAATAAGTCAACTGAAAGACAGAAAAATAAATACAGAAGGACGAAAGAAATGAAAACTATTTAGACTGGGAAAAAATGATGAGTTTTTGTTTTGAAGTTTAAGAGGAAATAAATTTTTAGAAAGGTTTTTTATGGCTTGTGTTATTTAAGGTGAAATTGTAGTTTGGAAATTTCTTCTTTTATGCCGAAATAAGTTTATAAAGAGAATTCTAAATTGATGAGGTATTTTTTGTTCAGCTTTCTCTCTCTCTCTCTCTCTCTCTCTCTCTCTCTCCTCACATAATCCAACACACACACACACACACACACACATTTTATACGCATACTGTAACCCTACCCACTATCTATCTATCTATCTATCTATCTATCTATCTATCTATCCATCTATCTATCTATCTATCTATCTATGTATCTATCTCTTAAGCACAAACACCCGACACACGAACTGACCAATCAGCAACGAGAACCTTCCACAATAGGGAACAACTGAACCAGACTGGCCGTGAATATCACATCAGGCCATGAATCAACCTATCACGAGCGACAATTAATCGACCAATTAGAGATGCGGAATTCTATCATAGCCCCTGTAAACTGGCCAATGACGATCCACGCTAGGTTACCAATGTGTGGAGTTTTTTATTATTATTATTTTGTATATAACTGAAACACGTAAGTTGAATTCTAATGCAAATGTGAACGTATTTTATTTGTGTTTACTCTTTTCTTTATTTAGACGAATAGGGTTTTTATGGCAGTTTAGATAAGAGGGGAAAATTACAGCATATAATTTTTTTGCTATCTAGTAAATTAATCGATTTGCCAACTAGTAAATATTGAATCGATTTTGTTGTAAGATTTATACCAGTGAGTAATATTCGATAATATAATTTTTCTCCCTTCATATTATATATCAGTCAGTATTTTTTCTGCCTGATTAGACATAATTCAGGAGTCGTATTATGAAGGGATTACGTAGTCATTATTACTGATGAATGATAGAGATGAATATTTGAATAAACTATTTTACTTTTGTATTGGTGTCTATGTAATAGATTAAACTCTGGGTTTCAAGCGATATACCAAATGATATCTATGGAAATTGACTTTTATTAGATAAAATACGACCCGGGTGACTTTTGAAATTGAAATTGTTTTGGGTTAGGTTAGGTTAGGTTAGGTTGGGTTAGTCCCCGTCTAACAGACAGTAATACTTACATAAATGTGGACTACATATATTACGTTTATATAATTACATCACCCAAGGTATTTAAACTATGACCACGTGTTTAGTATATATTTCTCTCTAATATTGAAGTAAGTGATGCATGTTAATTAATCTTCTTGCCTGTCAAATGACCTCTGACCTCTAGCCTTCTGCCCTGGTTAGGTCAGCAGTAATTACCCGGCCGCTGGCCAATACCTTGCTCCTCCTACGGTCAGTCCTACTCAGTCTCTCAAGAACCACACGTAAGCTTCATTAACGCTC